GAAAGAAAATTGGAAAATGGTCATGTAAACATGAAGTATGTTTTTGGTACATACTCATTTCTAATGTTAAATAGAAGAGAGCTTCAGTAAACAGTATGTGATGTTTCACTGTGTATTAGAACTTGTCAGTATGCATGGTATAATTTAATACTGCAATAATATCGAATACTATTATAATTGTGGGTGGTGATGGGGGGGGGGGCAGTTGTGGATTAATAGTATCCCATTTCTAATTTAAGTAATAATACTGCAGGCTGTTCCATCAGGTCAAAGTTTTGAAGCCCTACTAGTTTTACTCACGCGTGTCCATCTTTAACTACCATGTGCTTAATTGGGGTTGTGCACTTACAAATGAGTTTGGTTTAATGAACGAGGCTCAGTCTGGGCCTCTGCGCTCAGCAGAGTGTATTGGCTCTGATCAGTGGAGTTTATTGCGATGTGTGAACTTCATCACCTCCACCAAAACAGAAGGTTTCTGAGGGCTTTGAATGTGACTCCTGCGCTCGCCCCATGCAGGGTAATGGATTTAGCATGCCGTCTATGAGCTCAGCGTGGGGCTGCAGGGTTTCCTGACCGTTAGTTAAGAGCACTGACTGACTGTGTGCATGTAATTTGGCTCTTTTGAGGGACCGAATGTCCTCAGAACATGAATGTTTTGATGTTGTGGGGACCTTTTAGCAGCTTTTCCGAAAGAAATGCAGATGTTATTAGAAAATGTAGAGGAACAAGCTGATCATTTGGTTGCTGTGGTTGGGATTGGGTTAGTTGGAGCTTGGAAACACACCACAAGGACAGGAATACACATTTATGAGTGGCTACTTTTAATGTTGAGGACATGTGGGCCAAGTAAAACCATTCTTTCATTGAGTTTCGCATGGACTTCAGTGTTTCCTTTGGCTTGTATAGAAAGAACGGTAACACTTCACTGAAGGACAGCATTCATAAGGGTGTATCACAGACCTGCAGTGGAGTCCAAAAGTCTGTTTTACATTTTTACCGGCAAATAAACAACGATTTTGTTAAATTTCGAATTTTTTAAAACAAAAAAAAGTAAAGCGACTTAAAATTCCACCCAATTTTTAGGTCAATGTTCAGATTTAAGCAATTTTTTGACATTGGCCTTATTAAGGCCTTCATGAAAAATGTCAGATTTGAGTTCCTTCCTTTGAAGCTTGTATTCAGACGACTTTCAGATGGATTTGATCTGCCCATCTAAGACACTGCACCAACTTGTGGGGCCCACGTTCTCATTAAAGCAAATTGGGGGCTTAAGTACTAAGAAGTTCTTGTTAAAATTGCAAATCACTTTACAATTCATATAAAGTGTTATTCTGATATAATTTGCAATGAAAGTGTATAATAAATTAGAAATAAGTGTACTAATTTAGAAAAGAATGCAAAAAAAAAAGCTCAAGGCTTGTGGACCCCACTATAAACACACAGTTGCCCTTGTGACATCAGAATGGACAAGCAGTATCTGTCTAAGACATCTGATGCTTGTTGGAATCAACCTTTATAAAAGTCTATGTAGGCTTATGTAGGGGTCATGTAGCCTTAGGAATGCTGGCTCAACAGTAGGCATCAGCTCAAACTGTACTACTCGACTAAACCACTTGTCCACTATTAATAAACACAGTGGATGAGAATACCGGAACGCAGACTTATGGAAGTTGGAGCTGTTTTACCTTCACTGGGAGAGAAAATGAGGGAAAGCGCTCATACTGATGTGGGAAGAACTTCAGTCGGACTTTCTCAGGTCTGAGGTGAAGAGGAGGTGCTCGCACACTCAGACTGCAGAGGAAACCGACAGCTTTACTGACGGAGGCGCTCCAGTCTGAGTGTTTCACTGCGTTTGCCGAGCGCAGTGTTTCTCTTATAAAGCACATTTAAACTGACTGGAATGAACCGGACGTTTAATTCGGATATTATATATTAAAAGTAGTGTAAGATAATTGCATTTGCTTTTAAATGGAGTTATTAAAAGTTTACGTAGAAACGAAAGAAAACCAGTACAGTTTACGTTTAGTGGCGCGGAAACAGTGAGGCGCTTAAAGAGGTTAATAGAGGTTCTTTTGCTTGTTACAGTTTTTTTTGTTTACCTTTAAAATGTCTTCGAAGAACCAAATACAGCAGTTTCTCTATAGAAAAACCGTTTAAATGTTGAAATGGTTCTAGTTTCATAATAATAATAATAATAATAATAATAATAATAATAATGTTCAATTTCTACATTTATAAATTCCAATAACACTACAATAAGGACTTTATATAATCGCATTGCCCAATGTACGTCTCTCTCTCTCTCTCTCTCTCTCTCTCTCTATATATATATATATATATATATATATATATATATATATATGAAGGATTTGCCCCCCAAAGGTGGACCGTTTGAAGGCAGCGACCACCGAGAGGCCCCCATCGGAGGACCTCAGAGTACGAGCAGGAGTAGAGAGGAGACGGGGGCAGATATATAAGGGGGTGCTAAATTATTCAGGGCCTTAAACGTCAAGAATTACAGTAAGCAAAAGGAGTTTTGTATATATATATATATATATATATATATATATATATATATATATATATATATATGTGTGTGTGTGTGTGTGTGTGTGTGTAAGTATATATATATATATATATATATATATATATATATATATATATATATATATATATATATATATAAAGTATGTAAGCTCTTTCTGTGTTTAACAGCGCATACTCAATACACACGCTCGAGACGGACCGTTTACTTAGACTGACCGCTCACACACACACACACACTCGCACCCTCCTCGGCCTTCATCTGCAATGTGTGACTGTGAGGTGTTGAAGGGCTCACCGCGACTCTCTTATCAACCAATAATAATAATAATAATAATAATAATAATAATAATAATAATGATGATGATGATAACAGTGCTGCTGCTATTGCTACACAAAAGATCGTTCTTCAAGTGCTCTTTAATAAAGGTAATGGTTCTACGTAGAACAATTTGCATGCTTAAATAGTTCTTTGCATGGTGAAATCGTTCTTCAGACTGACGGAGAATCTGTGTAGATACGTTCTGAAAATGGTTCTATATAGCACCATAAAGGGTTCTACTATGGTTACGATGTCAAGCCTCTAACAGTAGCAGAAGCATTTAAACACATTCTCCATCAGTCTGGACCATTTCACCATGCAGAGAACCATTTTCGCTTGCAAATTGTTCTTTGAGTGTTCATATTCATGTTCTTTATGGTTCTATATATTCTAGAGCACCCCTGAAGAACCCTCTTTTTTAGGGTGTACACAAAACTGCACCTTTCCTGACCAAGCAGATCGAGTTCAGTGGCCTTTCTCCTTCTAAAGCCAAATTCAGTCTGCTGTTGGTCAGAACGGGGTTAAAGTAGAGGTCAGACTGTGTCCGCAGCTCGTGCCGCTCTGCAACGCTCGAGTGCACTCCGCAGAGTCCGATTATAATTATTATATTATTATGTTTTACTGCAGTAAAGCTCGTTTGTGCTGTAATGCCGCTGTCGTGTTTGTGTCCTCCGGCAGGAGGCGCTGTTGTCCGCGGAATGACTCACCTCTCTCTCTCTCTCTCTCTCTCTCTCTCCGTCTCAGCGCTGTCGCTCACAATCACTCCTCAGTTATCCTCTCTTTATTAACCGCGAGGGAGGAAAAGAAAGAGCAGAAAAGAAAAAAAGAATAAATAAATACGGAGATTTTAGGGAAAAAAGCTCAGAGTCCGTGGAAAAATCTGGAAAAAAAGAAAAATAAATAAATACATTTAAATTTAAATTTGAATTTAATCGTTTTTCAAAAAATGTTTTTTTTCCCAAACCGAACGTTCTGTACACTTTAAGTTCAGCTCCATTATGACGTCATAATGCAAAACTGAACTCTTTATTAAGTCTAACGTTCTCTAATCCTCTCTCTCTGTCTCTCTCTCGCTCGCTCGCTCGCTCTGATCGACAGCTCCAGGCCCCGCCCCCTCCTCCGTCTCGGCGTCCAATCGGCTCTCAGTGGGCGTGCGCGTGCTTCTCCCACTCCGGGTTTTTCTCCGGCGAGTTGCTCCGCTCGCGCACTCCGCAGCAGCAGCAGCACAGAGAAAGAGAGAGAGAGACAGAGCGAGAGAGAGAGAGTGATAGAGTGCTATAGGCTGACACTCATGATCTCATGAACGCGCTCACCTGAGCCTGCTGCTCCGCTCAGCCATCTCCATTCATTCCTTTTTTTAGTTTGCTCTCATCGCTTTCATTTGTTTTCATCCTTTATTCGCTCCATTCAGTTCATTTTTTTTATTATCGTTATTTCTTTTATTTTTTATTTTTATTATTCTCCTCGTTCATCCTCAGTGGGTTCGGAGCGTTTGGACATTTGCATGTTGTTTGAACATCTTTTTGGGGGTCTTTTCTCGCCTGAAGCCTGAAACGGAATATATACCTCAAAAAACAACAACAAAAAAAGGAAAAAAAAAAATTAACAAGAAGAAGAAGCTGCGCGCGCTCGGCGTAAAAGCGAGGAAAAGGAGAAGAAGGAGAGAAGGAGAAGGAGGAGAAACCTCGCTGGCTTGGATTTAGTGCATTTATTAATATTATTATTATTATTTTCCCAATAATAATAATATTATTTTTATTTTTTTCCTCCTGCCGGATTTAACCTGCTCCGTGTGTCCGGATCTGCGCGCGCCTCTGAGGAATGGAAATGTACTTCAGCTGGTGACCGAACGGAGACTTAACACGCACACACACACTCACTCACACACACACACACACTCCTTCACTCTGCGCGCGTGTGTGTGTCTGTGTGTTTTCTGTTTTTTGAACCCAAACTGAAGGAGAGACTGGCGCGCGCTGGCTGGAGTGGCCGCTGGCTGGCTGGACTGTCCGGAGTGTGTGAGCCGCAGGAGTGAAACTGCCCCTGATCCGCGCTCAGCGGCTCCGCTGGAGGCTTTTTTCTACTGTTTGTTTATTTTTTGACTTACTATTATTATCCTGTTTTTTCCTACCTCGCGCCTGGAGTGGGGGATCGCTACTGCGCCTGGGATACTGCGAGAGCGCCCGCGTGCGATTGAGTGCGCGAGTGCGTGAGCGTGCGTGCGTGTGTGTGTGATCATGGCGGAGTCGCTGCTCTGGAGGTGCTGCTTCAGCCTGCTGGTGGTCGCGTGCGAGCTGAGCGCGACCCGCGCGATCATCCTGGAGTCCATCTACTGGAACACGACCAACACCAAGTGAGTCTCTCTCTCTCTCTCTCCCCCTCTCTCCCTCTCTCTCTCTCTCCCCCTCTCTCTCTGTGTCTCTCACCCAGGCTGGAGTGTGTGGGTGTAAACTGCGTTAGATGTTTTAATGCGTGTCCACGCTACTTGCAGGGTCACGGCACCAAAAAGACCCCAGTGAAAAATTTTAAAAATAATTTTTAACAGCCTTGTTTCAGGCCACAAACCTTTATTTTGATTTATTGTAATTTTTTAAAAAATGTATTTATTTATTTATTTTTTTTACGTAAAATGTGTTCATTTTTTTAAAATTTTTAAATCTACATTTTATTTTATTTTATTTCATTATTTTACAAGCAGTTCTTGGCCAATATTAATATTAATTTCGCTACATCATCCACCAGCCTAAATTATGCGTGTTCATTTAACCCTCGTGCGCATAGACCCGTCTGAGAAGTTCGAGCCAAAGCGTTCAGGCCCGCTGGACTTACTGTAATAATAATAATAATAATAATAATAATAATAATACATTGACTGTCAGCCTCCCATTGCAGTGCATGGTTGTTTTTAGGGTGTATCTGTATATTTGGGGCTGCAGTGCTGTTCTGCTCTGTGATCCAGCCTTTATCACTCTAAAGCCGCGCGCTCTAGCTCGCTCTAGCTCGCTCTGCGCTGCCCAGATAACCTAATATACATACCTCTGGTCGGCCAGACTGGGTTCTCCATTAGAGTTCTACCAGCTCCTTTCCAGCAGTTTGGTTTGGTTCTCCACTGCCCCTTTTCTACCAATCAGATCAGATTTTTCATTGGAGTTCCACTTTTCCAGCCTTGACCTTCAGTGTTCTATTAGGATTCTAGAACCCTATTTCTACCAGTGAGACTGGGATTTCTGTTAGAGATCTAGTACCTCATTTCTCCCAATGAGATGAGATTTTTCAGTAGAGTTCTACTGCAGTACCCCTTTCATAGCAGTTTGGTTTTGTCTGCTGTTACAGTTCTAGTAGCTCTTTTATAGCAATGAAAATTTGTTCTGCTATAAGTGTTCTAGTACATCTTTTCAGCCAATGAGGTTGGATTTTCCAATAGAGTTCTATTACCAATTTTCTAGCAGTGCCGTTTGGCCTTCTATTAGAGTTCTAGTGTTCTAGAGTTCAGTTTGGTCTGGTCTTCTATTAGAGTTCTAGTACATCTTTTCATCCAATGAGTTTGGTCTTCTCTTAGAGTTCTAGTTCTCTTTACTACCAGTGAGGGTGGATTTTCCAGCAGAGTTCTAGTACCAATTTTCTAGTAATGCCGTTCTAGTGCCCTTTCTCAGACAGTTTGGTTTAGTCTTCCATAAACATTTCAGAATCCCTTTTCACCAATAAGGTTCTCTCTTTCACTAAGGTTCTACTACCTTTTTTCTAGCGGTGAGGCTTGGAGTTCTAGGAGTTCTAGCTTTGAGAACTCTTACAGAGATGCTTACAGAGTAATGAGACTTACTCACTAACCAGTAAAATCCACTATCAGTAATTCAGTGAGACTCCCTCACTATCAGTAACTCAATGAGGCTCACCCACTAACCAGCGAAATCCACGATCTGTAATGTAGTGAGACTGACTCACTATCAGTAATGCAGTGAGACTCGCCCAACGCCCAGCATTATACAGGCTGCTTCTCCATTTTCCACAAAGCTGCTTTCTGAAAATTCATCACAGGGGAACTCGTACGGAGTGACCTTCTCTTCTCTTCTCTTCTCTTCTCTTCTCTTCTCTTCTCTTCTCTCTGCAAGAGTTATTGCTCTGTGCATCTTTCAGGCCTGCATGCAGAACCACTCTAAAGTCCCTTGGGTTCTTTTGCGAGGGAATGCGCTTTAGAAACGCATTTTAATGAGGCCATAAAACCTGTTATAAAGACGTTCAGTGACCTAATGGTTTGATCATGAGAGAGAGAGAGAGAGAGAGAGAGAGAGAAATGCTTGTTTCTGTGTTTCGCTGAATCACTTGCAGGCAGCGATGAGCGTTTGCCCTAGCCTTGTAGACTTAACCTACTTTAACAGAAGGCTGCGTTCCTCACACTCACATTATATTAATCATTTAGGAACATATCAGCGATGTAAGCAGTGTTTCAGAAAGTACTGACCTCAAATGTGGCCGTGGCTGTTAGAATTGTGAAGGCCGCATTTAGGGCAGCGCATCGATACGTCACGCGTCTCATTAGACAGACTATGGAAAGTTTTATGTATTTATTTCTGAGCTGGAGCTTCTCAACATGAGTTGGAAAACGTTGAAAAGAACAAAGCGCAAGCAGTCAGACTGATAATGTGGACCACTGTGAGCAAGAAAACCTTGTATCTCCAATTTTGTTGTTTTTCAGTTTTTGACATAATCTGAAAATGCCTGTTGCCCTTTACATTGTGTGTAAATTCCATGATGAATGGACTAAAAGAAACAGCCCAAAATGACTTGGAAAAAATGTCTGGTTCCATTGACTCACATTAAAAGTAAAGTAAGTTTTTTCCTTCTCCTGTGAAGTTACCGTTTTGAAGATACGACAACAGCTCAATCTGATTTTGGCCATATGTTATTGTAATACATTTCCTTTATATACAATGTTGTGATGCATTAATACTTTATAACATTATTATAAATTGCGTATCATGTTGTAATAACAGTATTTATTGACAAATACTGATGTTGTCAGTCCTTCTAGAGCACTAAACGACTGCATATGTCCTCAAATGGATTGATTTAGACCAATTATAAAGCGCCTGCAATTAACCCATTATGCCATTATCTCATCATTTTCACCAGTTTCTTGTTTTCCTAAGTATCACGTAGGCCTCTGGGCAATTCAGTATGAGGCCGCTGGTGGAGCGTCAGGGTATTCCCCCAGTTTTCCAACATTTTTATAGGCTTTATCATGACGTGAGAGCAGGGAATGTTTAGTGCTAGGCTTGTAATAGAGGCATTGTAAACTCGATCACATGATCAGCTTTATTACTGTAGTTGTTTTTCTTTTAGCGTTCTCATGAATCAGATTGTCAGAGGATTTGATGGTTGCATTTATCTCTGTAAACATTTCTCTAACTTTTCAAACTTTTCTCTAACTAATTTTGCAGTATTATTATTAAAGCCATCGTCACTGTTCACATCTCCAAAAAATATCACTTTATAGGAGAAGGAAAAAACGACACAACTTTCAATGTAAGTTAAGGGAACCAGACGTATTTATACATCGTTTTGGATTGTTTCTGTTGGTCTGTTTGTTGTGAAATTTTGCCATGTTGTAAAGTCGGCCTGGTATTTTCAAATGACCTAAAAAATAAAAATTGACTAAAATATACAATATCGTACAAAATCGTAATATGCACCTTTATATATGTCAAAACTGATGCTCATACGTGCACTTTTAGACCACCCACATTAGTACTATGGAGAAATGTACCATGCATTTCTATATAACATTAAAATGAATAAAATAAATAAAATGCAGATATTTTATCCTCATATCTCTGCATCGTGCATCCATACTGATAATCATACTTCCTAATGGTTCCTCTCAGGATTATCATATTATGAGTGGCTCTAGCAGTAGCAGTCATATTATCAGTAGAAATAATAGCTGTAATTAATCTAAAGCAGTTAGTGAGCTGTTTGAATGCAGCCCATAAGCCCACGCTACACTCTCCAGTGCTGTATTAGCTGCTACTGAGCTCAACTCTGTAGGAAAAGCTTTAAATCAGCGGGAGTTAATTGAACACTGGTGGTTTTCTTGTAAGACTGTGTCTGGAGGATGTTCACTCGTGTGTGTGTATGTGTGTGTGTGTGTGTGTGTGTGTGTGTGCGCTGTCTCCGACATCTCGGGGAAGGAGAGAGAAAATGGAGAAAATCGGCCGATCTGGCCCGTCAGCCTTTAGTATTGCGAGTCTGATCTCGGAGAGCTGCTGGTGTGATCGGCTTCCAAACCACCCGGACTCTCTCTCTCTCTCTCTCTCTCTCTCTCTCTCTCTCTCTCTCCCCCACTCCACTGTCTTCATCTCTCTCTCTCTTTCTTTCTCATTATCGCTCTCTCTGCCTACTTCCCTCTCTCTCGATCTCTCTTTCTCTTTCTGTCTCTGTGTATCCCTTTCTCTGTCACTTGCACTCTCTCTCTTCTCTCCTTCTCTCTCTCTGTATTTTTCTCTCTCTTCTGTCTCTCTGTATCCCTTTCTCACACTCTCTCTCTGTCTTTCTCTCTGTCCCCTCATCTTTCTGTCTTCTCTATTTCTCTTTCCTTCTCTGTTCTTTTTCCCCTCTTTCTTTTTCTCTCTTTATTTCTCTCTCTCTTTTTCTTTTTCTTAGTCTCTGTCCCTTGCTTGATTTCTCTCTCTCTCTCTCTCTCTCTCTCTCTCTCTCTCTCTCTGTCTCTTTCTTTCTCTCTCTTTCTGTCCTGTCTATTTGTCTCTCTCTTGTTCATTCTCTAAATCTGTTTCTCTCTGTCTCTTTCTCGATTTCCCCCCTCTCTCTCACTCTCTCTCTCTCTCTCTCTCTCTCTCTCTCTCTCTCTCCGCTAATCCATTTTGTAGTTGAGGCGGAGAAACAAAAGGGAGGTTTTGCTCTACACATTTTCAGTCAAAGGACGAGCGAGCCCCCCTTCTCTTTTCCCCCCTCTCTCTCTCTCTTCATTATGAGATTACATCTCTTTGCAAAGCATTGTGGGCCACTGGCTGGGCCATGTCCGCGGAGGCATACACATGCAGATAGTCCATCAGAGCCTGATGAATCGGCCATGAATAATAACCACCCCCTAAACCCCCCCTAACCCCCCCTTTACAATCACAGGGAGCGCTCTATTAGCGTCCGAGAGAAGCCCAGCGCTGTTAGACACTGCTGGACTTACTGCTTTTACAGTTTTAGATGTTCTTAGCTGATTTTGTCTGTCTGATTTAGGGCACGTATGTTATTGTTATTAGTGATAAATTCTCACATTATATCATGTTTTATACTTTATATCAGTATATTACATTGCGTATCATGATGTAATAATAATACTGT